CATAGGCAACTGATGGTTAAAGGCGGTTGACTAGCATTAAGTACGACATAGCGTGACATTCTCAGAAAAACGGGAAGTCGATGATGTACTGATTAAATGCGTTGGGGGGTTTCCCGAGGAAATGAGTCATCAGATTGTTATTGTTTTCAAGTCATATGATAGTTGTGTCAGTTTTTCAACCAATCACCCTTTCATAAGCTCCAACTAAAGTGAAAGTCCCACCCTTTTCACCCAGGGGGGAATTTGAGCATTCGTGGTGGGGGTGTGCCGCCAGGTTCTCCAAATCCTGACCCTATTTCAGAGCAAAAACTATCATTTTTCACACCCGTTTTTAGACCTGGCCTCTAAATTCCATACCCGTTTTTACACCTGGCCATAGGAAATTATGTCATTATTACTTAGATTAGAACAGCAACCAAAAGGTTTTCTTAAAATCCATTTCGAATTCGTATATTTCTCTTTCTTTCTTAATCTTTTGGAATTGAAAGGATAAATACATTCATTCCCTCCTGTAGTTCCCTCGAAAACCATACCCGATTTCATACCAAAATGGGCAAAGTGTATACCCGTGTTCAGACCAAAAAAGCCATTATAGAGAGAATCCCCCATATTTAGCGAATAATGTAATACCAAATTGAAGATCATATTAGCAGGTTTCTTCGTGACATATCGTCAGGTGTCGACAAGCAAAGGTACGCAACGAAGTAAGGCAGGAGTATCCCCTTCAAAGCAAACGGCAACAACAGCAATTTATTACACGACAAAAAGTTTACAACGAATATAGGTAGACCGAGAAGAAAAGAGGAACTAATTCCCGCCACCCGCTAAACGAGGCGAGAAATAATGAAGTGGAAAAGAAAGATAAATCTAAAAAAAAGCAGACTGAATTTTTAACAATTATGTCATAATACTATGTAGAGATTATCACCTATAGAGACGTGAAATAAAGAACGCGTCTTTTCGTCATCAGCACAACTGCTAAACATCACTTGATCATAGGCCAGGGTTATAAGGGCTATGCCTAGCTGATGGGAACACGAGGGACCTATAGCTTCATCTATAAAGACACCTACCCATTTAAAAAGCCGCAAAAGAATAAAATGGCACCAGAAAATTTATAAGAAACTGTTTGGCTTAAACCATCACATATTCACTCACCCCTTGCGTGTCTCCCTCGCGCGCGCCCGTTCTCTCTTTCGCCCGCTACTTCCAAGCGCCTGCTACGCAGGCTATAATTAATTGTAATTTGTTACCTAAATTGTGAAATGCTTGCAAATTAAAATAGTTGTATTTTCATAACAGAAGATACAAAATAGAGATCTTTGAACCAGTTAAAAACCAGTAACTAATTTGCGTATTTGTTGATACTTTATCCGGTATATCTTATATTGTGTTTTTTCTTTTCTACGATATGAATTTTCTATATGGGTATTGAATTTCGCAAGGATTTTTTTTCCTTGGTCATAAGGTGTCAACTTTCAGTTACTATCGCAAAAACAGGAAATTAACGACCCGCGAAGTTAAGTAAGGGTTATTGGCCTGAAACGAGGAGTTTATATGTGATTTATTCCCGACGTGCTCTAGGCAACGGCGGAGAGGATTAACTCACATAACCACGAGCTGAAGGCCGATAAACGGCTTATTTTTACGCTGGCGAGGATTCCTCAAGGGATGCAAAAATACATTGAAAAAAAAAAAGCCTCTACTATTCTTTCTTTTGTTTTTCAACTCTATGCCGGCCCTGGTGGCATTTACAAGTTTCTCCGGCTTTTTAATTATGTTAGTTTATCAAAGTTGCACTTGCTTCGAATTTGTTATTCGTAGTGAATGCTAGAAACAGCCTTGCAGTGTCGAGCGATTGAGAGTCAGAAGTAGAAACTTTTATCACTCAAATTAAAGCAGCGTTAGTGGCGGTACTGCAAGTGAGCTTTCAGACAACAACTTTGAATCTTCATTTGCGGGTGCGACAACGAGCAAGCATTTGGCGACCTGTTTAAAGATAAAGAAGATTCCAGACGAGGGATAACTACTGTGACAAGGGGCGCTTTCCATTTACTCAAAATTTCCGGAATTTCCGGTTCGGCGGTAAATGGAACACGTTTCGTCGGTTCGTCCCACTGGAAAATTTCTAGAAAAAGTGGAAAATCTAAAAAGGTGGTCCCGTTTTCCCGGTTGGAATTTCCGAACGGAATCTTGTGTTCCATTTACGTTTCTCGTAGTTTGTACCAGTTCCAGGTCCACGGTCGGGCACCGCCACGTACCGGGGTTTACGACCAAATGGAACAACTTTTTACCAATCGGAAATTCCACTTTTGCTACCACCGAAATTTCCGGGTTTTTTTCCTAAATGGAAAGCGCCCAAGGAAATCCAGTCGAGGCAAGTGAAGAAAGAATACCACAAAACACAAAGTGGTCAACTACATGGAGTACTCGAGCTTGGGATGCACTGGGTTAAATATTGGAGCGCCGTACCATGACAACGACACTTTCATGGTAGCTCTAAACAGTGGACGCTAGCTGTTCGTTCTGGCTGTGGAAAACAATGAACCACCAACAAAGAAAATGCGCGAATGTGGCGCAAAAGAAGTGCAGCTAAATTTAATTTTAGTAATTGTAATATTTCCAATAAACGTTTGTAAATTTGTTCTTCATGAAACGCTAATCAAAATGCGAGGGGATTGTGTTAATATGCAGGGGGGACAATTAATTAGCTGTTCATTAGCCCCCCTCTTCCCTTCAAACAATCAAAGCCGCACCCAGCTTTTCAGACAGTTGATTCGGGGGTAATGTAATGTGTTTCCCCCGGTAGGAACAAAGGAATCCGTGCTCATGTAAAATAAGTACTAATAAGGTCTCTTATTTGCTCTTTTTGCGTAATTAATGCTCTATTATCTAGCTTTTTATTGTTTCTTTTTTAACTGAGCAATCGGCTAGTTTATTATTTCTTCAAATATTTACACAGTGCGCCTAGAACTGAAAGCCTTTGTTTAATTATTTATTTTCGGGCAACAAATATCGAATTTGATGTTAGTTAAGTTCAATGTTTGTCAAACACAGCCTGAGTAAATGCTAATCAAATTATGATAAAAGTTTAAAAGGTAAATTTGTGATCCCAGTCATTAGATCAGCACTGTCGACTGCCACCGATTTTCGTCAGCAAAGACCTCAGGTCAAAGGAAATATTAAAAATATAATTAGCCTCCTAATCGTGAATCAACTGTGCGCGGTGGTTTATTAACTCGTTGGTACTTGAATTCGGAGGTACTTAATTTTGCGATTTTGGCGAGAAAATATTTCATGACGGTTTTAATTTCGCGATTTCAATAGGCAAATAAGAAAAAGGGACAAAATTTCGGAAGTCAAGCACTTTCAACTTCATATTATTTTTCAAAAAGTCTGAATTCACTACATGGCGCGGGGATGCTCGTCTGAAATTTTGAATTAAACCCCTAAAGGAGGCACAATGTGGACGTGGCCCAACCTTTTTTTGACCACTAGAAGATTACATAAAGAGACCATTTCAAACTATGAGGGTTTGAAACCCTTACCCTGTCCAGCGGCACATTCCCGTATAGGTCATACAAGGGAGTACCACCCACCCCCCCTCCCCCACCCGAGGATATCATCCACGCTTTAACAACCACTGGCCGATTCCTTTGAGAAAGTCTCTTGTTGTAAGGAGAATATTTTTAACCCTTTTATTCGTCTTTTTAGTTTGTTCACAGTCCCCTATTTTTCCGTAAGATCGTCGGGATCGAAGACTTCGCGTTTCGGGCAGCCTCTTGGATGAGTGCCAAATCTACTTAAGAGTGGGGGACCGCTACAAACTCCAACGCCAGGCCTCTCGGTACATATAAAACAAAGATGGCCGCCCGAAAAAATAGGGGACTGTGAACAGTTTATCTTTTTAAAGTTGCTGCTTCTAGCCTCAGTAATCAGGAACACTGGTATGTAAAGAGGGTTTGCATCACAATTTGACCCAGTAACACGTTGATACGGCCAAATTTCCTTGACCCGAAGTTTTTTTAACCAAAAAAACCCCCCCCAAGAAAAAAGAAAATTCATTTCGACAAAACGTTATCAACATTTATTGTAAAGAAAATTAGCAGCAGCCGAAGATACAAAAGCGAATGTTTTAACATTATGGTATTAAAATACCATAGGGTCTCTACTAAAAGAATATGCACCTCAGTGTAAAAAAAAAAGTCCATCGCTCCTTCCCAGCTCAAAGTGGCCAGGCCTAATAAAGGTGGCGAAGTTTCCATTAAGGCCCTGCACGTGCCTTTAAGCAATAGTTAAAAATGACCAGTGCATTCATTAAATTCTATTTTTTGCTTTATTTTAATAATTTTCCTTTCGTGCTTTTTCAGTGCCCCTCTGAGAAGGCGCGCTATATTTTCTAAGGAATTAAATCAACTGCAAAAACCGTGGACGCAGATCAAGAACCAAAAATGAGAAGTCCAAATACTACTTCAAAGCTGACCAGAACAACGCCTATTGTTTTTTCATAACAATATTTCGGCTGGCCATACCAGCCTTCTTCAGGTTTACAGATGTTACTGAAGAAGGCTGGTATGGCCAGCCGAAATATTGTTATGAAAAAACAATAGACGTTGTTCTGATCAGTTTTCCAGTAGTCTTTGGACTTCTCGTTTTTGGTTCTATATTAGTTGAACACTTATTTTATGCGTACGACTCTAATTAATTGTTGCTGTGTTTAAACTGTCGAGATTTTCGTTCTCTCCTTTTTAATTGCACAAATCGCCCTGGCAGCAATCGAGAAAGCACTTCACACTGTTGATTCCCATTTGTTGATGTTGAATTTGGGTGTTTTTACAAGACGTAATGGCTTCTGGACTGCATTTATCAGATGAGGTACATCCCTTAGCGAATGCTTTCATTTCGTAGCCGCCCACGTTTGTTTGAATACTGTGATAGTAGCAGTACTGGTCCCCCGCAGACGAACAAGTTAAAGGATCCTGTGACTCGGCACAGTCCTT